CTCTCTCTCTCTCTCTCTCTCTCTCTCTCTCTCTCTCTCTCTCTCTCTCTCTCTCTCTCTCTCTCTCTCTCTACCCCTCCCCCTTCTTCCACCCTTCTTCCACTTTCTCTCTTTCTCTCTCCTTCAAATTTCTTTTTTTCCCCTTCTCATCGTTTTCATACACTTCCTCAGCCATCACCAGTAGATACAGAAAGAGATGCAGAGGCGGAGTGTGAGAGTGCGGGAGAGGGCGGAGGAAAGGGATGCGTCCAAGCAATTCACTCAATCATTTATCGCCCTGACCACCGTCCCCTCCCTTCCCCACCCCCAGCTCCCTCCTCCCCTCCATCCCCATCTCCTTTCTCTCCTTCCATCTTACTCCCTACCTCCCCTCTGCTCCCTCTTCCCCCACCCTATCCCAGTTTTCCATCTCTCCTCCTATCCCTTTCCCCATCTCCTCCCTCCTCTCCTCTCCTCCCTTTCTCCTTCCCCTCTCTCCTCTCCTCCCATCCCCTTCCTCCTCTCCTCCCATCCCATCCCCCCTTTCCTCCTACCTCTCCTCCTCTCCCTTTCCCCACCTCCTCTCCCTCTTCCCCTCCCCCATCCCCACCTCTTCTCCCAACCCAATCTCCCTCTCCTCTCTCCTCCTCCCCCCCTTTTCCCTCCCACCCATCCCCCAATCCCACCCCCCTCCTATCCACCCCTCCCCTCCTCCCGTGTGACGCCCGAGCCCGTCCACTTTGTCATCCTTATGCGTCGTCTTGGCATTGTAAATCTCCACCTTGACTTCTACGGCGTGACTCCGGCGGGCGTGGAAGGAGGAGTATTGCGGTTAGGCCTAGCGGTCGGCGAGGAGGGGGGGAGGGGAGGGGGGGAGGGGGTGAAGATTTATGACACCTGTTATTTATATAACTGCTGATTAGTGGGGTATGATTTTCGTTTGTTGTGTGTGCCCGAGTGGACTGTAAATCACGCGGAAGCAATTGGTTTGTACTTCTATTTTTGAGATATAGAAATAGACGAGGAAGAGGATAGATAGATTGCTTTAGAAATAATGGTGAAAAGTCATTGGAACTGCCAGGCTGTCGAACTGTAAAAATGCGGTTATGCAAATGAACGTCATTTGCGGTTATATCCAGGAATATTCTCAATTCATGCTCATTTGTTCCTGATATATTCCCCTCTCGTAATTTCAGCAGCATATTCATCATCATCCTCG